TGTCCCACTGGTGAAGAACAATGAGAAATTCTTGGTCATACAGCAGAAATATTGTATCCCTATTTTATAAATGATTAACCTGGTGTTCTGCAACTTGCTTAGGAATAATAACTATTATCAGCACTTGCTATTTGTCAGGCATTATTCAAAACATTTTTCATTTAATCTCACATCAAATCTCTAAAGTGGGTACTTAGAGTCCCAATTAACAGATGAATAAAAATAAGGCACAGAGAGACAAAACAATTAGCCTAAAGTCAAACAGCTAGGAAGTAGTACCATATAAGCTAAGTTCTATTTTAAGTATTTCTTTGTTTTTTGTTTTAACACTGGGAATTACATCCCCAGCCCTTTTTATTTTGATATTTTGAGACAGGGTCTCTGAGTTGCTGAGATTGGCCTCAAATTTGGGATTTTCCTGCCTCAGCCTCCCAAGTCACTGGGATTATAGGCATAGGCCCTACATGGTACATGGCTCAAGGTTTTCCTTTTCTTTCTTTTTTTTAAAAAATTTTTATTGTATTTTTCTGATAGTAAAATTATTCTATGAAGATGAGGATGATGAACCAATATTCTCAAATAGTTTATAGAAATTTAATATTCTACCTATTTTCATCTTTTAATTTTTTTACTTTTAACCATTAAAACCACAAGTAGTATGACTTTTAAAAATTGAATTTGGCCAGGCACTGTCATAGAGGCTTGTAATCTCATCAACTAGGGAGACTAAAGCAGATGACCACAGGTTTGAAGCCAGCCTCAGCAATTTAGTGAGATGCTATCTCAATTAAAAAAAAAAAAAAAACTGATATAGCTCAGTGATAAAGTAACCCAGGGTTCAATCCCCAAACCACCCCCCCATCCACCCCCGCAAAAAAAAATTGAATTTGTAATTGAATGATAACCGTCCATCTACACCTATTAAAAATTTTACAACAGTCAAGCCTTAGTGGATTTTAATAGCTTCTGGCTAAGTATTTAAGTGGATGCCATGTTCTTCCCCAATCAGGATTTGTCAGCAGTGTTTCTCCCATAGTCAGTCATTCCTGAAGACAGCCATAAGTGGCAGCTTGAAAAAAACAATCCAAAGTTTTGAAGATGAGTTTCACAGCTTTTAACATTTTCATCCAATGTGTTGGAAAGGAAAACCTTTTTCTCTACTTTTTAGTTCAGCCCCTGTGGGCATGCAAATGAGACAGATGAACAGGAGTAAACTCAGAATTTTAGTTAATATTTATATGCAAAGAATGCACAGAAAAGAAGTGAAACTCAACACTTAGATTTGAGGATTTATATATATATATATAAACAGAAAGCTGAAAAATGCACAGGCAAGAGTTAATGGAAGATAAGGACTACTTTATTTATGTAAGATCAAATAGTTGCCAATTTCCACACCTGTCTGAAGTTAAGTGATTGAAAGAAGCTCTTCCTGGTTGAGGGGGAGGGGGTGTCACCTTCCTCAAAGGGAAATTTTTGCCCAGACTTCAGACAGATAAAGGGAGGTTGGGGGAGGGAGGAATCAGTTTATTAATTTAACAAATAAAAATAACAAGAAATTAAAAAGGGGACATGGTTATAGAATTTTCTGCATCTGTTTTCAGTGGAAAATATCCCTTACCAAAGGGTGTATTTTGGGATGGCATATTCTGATCCTTTTCAAATGGAAAGCAAAGAATATAGCCACACCAAAACTAAATTTTATCTTGATTAGTATTTTTCAGTCCTCCTGATAAGCAGCCACTT